TTTTTTTTTTTTTTTTTTTTTTATAAACGTTAACTGTTATTCAGGTGTATAAATTTGTTTTGGAAACCGACGAAGCTTATATTATGTTGATTAGTTTTTTTTTCTTATTTATTTATTTTTTTTTTGTCATATCTCTCCTGTTGATCTCGTAACACGCAGCCCGATAGAAATTTCGTAAAAACGCGATTATTCGATTTTATACGCCGTGTTGCAGTGGACTCCCGCATCCCGGCGTTACGGTATTTCCATATTACTATGCTACTTACGTATAGATTCCATAAATAATTTCGATCAATAACATTGCGTATTGCAATAACACCACAGACAATAATAATAATAATGTTATTATTATATTAACTATATGCGTTAAAAAACCCATCGTTTTCGAGAAACGCGAGTTTCCGTCTAAAAACCTAGAATGTACAAATCTGGAATATGGGCCTTTACGGATATCGGACATTTGAAATGTATACAAATTTACAAATTTAAAATGATTGGATTCCGACGAAATCATTGCAGTTATCGATGGTTTTAGGCAACCGATAAATGCAATTCGAACGTTTTGTTTTCCAGACGTGTACGGTTCGGATTTAGATTTTTGTAAAAAAAAAAACAACCTCGGATTTACGCGTTCCGCAATTGTCACGTGTTTTTACGCACTCTCCGCGGGGACGACGAACACGGTGCGCGATTCTCTAGAATGCAATTCACTCGGAATCCGCCGGGAAAATCGCCGGATCGATCGATCGCGATAAAACGATCTTCCCGTACGTATAATTACGGCGGCGGCAACGATAACGTCGCCGCCGCCGCCGCCGCCGTCGAGGCGGGTCCCGGTTTAAACACGCAACGGCGCGCTATGATAACGTTAATATTTTATAATAAAACCGTTCGGTCGCCGACGTGCGGCGACACCGATCGCGCCACGACCGCGACCGGAGCAAAACGATATTACGCCGCCCGTCTAGCCGAGGGCCGTTATTCTATTGCGCGCGTCTCGGTCCGCCGCCGCCGCCGCCGCCGCCGCCATCATTGAAAACGGTGCCGTTTTAACGATTTCCACGCGTCGTTCGGCGGCCGTGTAAACGTACTTACATCGCTTTTTTTTTTTTTTTTTTTTTTTTTTACGACTCTAGGTATAATCCCGAGCATCCATTTTATACGTATATTCTGTAACGCCGATATCACGTTTATAGGTTATATAGATTGTTGGTGTTTTTTTTTTTTTTTTATTTTCTAATGTACACACGTCGTAAAAACATTATTCGACTTTTAATACACGTCTCGGCCGTATATAAAGTCCGCGCGTGGCACGCCGACGTCGCCGTCCATCGCCGTGGACTATAAATTGGTACCTGCCTGCGTTGTCTATAAATTCGGTTCGAGATTTCATTTTTTTTTTTTTTTTTTTTAATTAGTTGTAATGCCTATACAAACGAGGGACCGAGAAACGACTTTGTAGACACCGTCGTTAATAATAAAACTTAGGTACCGCACGTATTAAAATCGCCGGAGAATTTTTTCCGAAGAATTTAATTTTAAATTAATTTCCGTCGGATAACTAAGATGACGTTGACCTACACGCCTGCGGTATTCACGCATTTTTTTCGCGCACCTCGCTCTAAAAATAATATCGTCATGTATTTTCGGCGCTGTAGTTGGTCACCGATTCACAGATATATACAACGATTCTGTTCGGTGAGTGAATCGGCTCGGTAGTTATCACATATATATTATATACCGAGAGGTCGAATTGTAATTGCGAAACCCGTGCGATATTTGTTTATGCCCGCGAATTATGTGGTCATATGAAAAATCACTATTGCTATCAATCTCGTTTCCGCGTTATAATAATATCCGTGTAACCGTAAAATCCAATAATAATCAATATCTCAACGCCGGAACGAAACAAAAACGAGTACAATATAATACCCCGTAAAAACTGCAGAACATGCGACGATTACAGTAACAACTGTCCGTATATCTATAAAATATCATTGTCTCATCATATTAGAACGCACGACGGATGAACAAATATGTCCGTGAGCGAATCAATATATTTTGCCAGTTTTGTTGGCACATTACCACAGAACGCCGACTTTATAGAATATCATCCATCTGTAGGACACGATATTACTGTACAGTATCGACTATGCCGGTCGTTTTATACACAATGACTTAAATTATCTATTATTTAATAAAAAAAAAAAAAAAAAACAATTGTTTGTAAGTACGTCTTAAAACAACGGCCGTGTCGCGCGAACACCGGTAACAAGAGTATCGAATTTTCGTCGTGGTATTTTTTTGTAAAACAAAAAAGGCGGCGTTTACGTGAACGTTCGTGTGCTCTGATTATTGCAAATCAGTTCGTTGCGAATTTCCGTTTTGTATTTTATGTACGCATACTTATATACACATACACACACACATACATGTATAATATTATATTATAATAATATGAAAATAAGATTCGCCGGATAGGAGATCCCTGGAAAACGAGACGAGAAGATCGATATATGGCGGCGGCGGTGCGGCGTACTGCGAGAAAATTGTTTTCCATTCGAGCGATGCAATTTTCGCATCGCCAACGACGACCGGGTGCGCGAGAGTCAGTCGCGGAAGATAATATGATAATAATAATAATAATAATGTCGAAAGAAAGACAAAAAAAAAAAAACCACCAGCAAAAGATGTTATTAATTCAATGCTTCGGTGTATAGCATTAACAATAGTGCTGGCCGCCGTATAATGTTTACCAACCTAAAAACCTAAAAACAGTGCCAACGGAAAACGAAAAAATTCTATCATGGCTATGTATATTGATTGTTATAAATACATACTCGTACCTGTTTGCCAGAGCCGTACATAGATTGTATTTTATTCTGGGGGGAAGGATCCAAATTGTTTACTATAATTTCGGTTGACACGGTATGTCTAGGTTTTGATGCGTTCAGTCAAAAGCGTATATGAGAAAAACGATTTTTTTTTTTTTTTTATTTTTATTAAAAATCAATAATTTATAACAGGGTTATGCACGGAACGATTTCATTATTCACATGTCTGTAGAACCTTCATTTTTAATTGTTTGTTTCAAAAACGACACGAACCGAAAATTCTGGTCTCAAGTATATTGTTTGGATTTAGAAGTAAAAAAAAATATACTACAAATTTGATTCAACTACAATTTTTATTTTGTCCCAAGTTACCTTTAACTTTGGGAAGTTCTATTCAAAAACAAAGTTGATCTTCATCAATGCCAACTATATTTATAATTGAATTGTAATCTACTGCTATACGAGTAAAAAAAAATGAATGAAAATTAAAATAATAGCAAATTTTTAACTAATTAAAAACTGTTATGAGTGGGAATTGCTCATTGAAGTCTGCCAATCCACCTAATGCGAGTGGAGTAAAATACTAGTCAGTGGTGTATCCAGAGGTTGTACAATAGGGTCGGACTTTATTAAAAAAAATAAATATATACGTATATTATACGAAAAATTGTAGAATATAAGAATTATAAAAAAAAAAAACATGGCCAAGTTAGGGATCGACTCCTTTTGTATCCGTCGTCCGATCCGTGTAGGAAATGACCTTAGACCTCCAGGAGACCAAGCAAACTGTATAGGAGGGGTTCACTACTTTTATGCTGTACCGTGAACTCGTCACTATTAATAGCTATCTATTTTTGACTAACAGTGGCACGTCGTTTTAGAAACAGTCTAATATTTTACTACGAGATGCGTATGATATAATAATAAAGTCATGTAGATGAGGTAAAATTAATTCATGCACTGGCCGTTCAAAGTTTGTACAGCTGCCAGCTGACTGCTGGTTTTGAGTCCGAAAACGAGTAAGCATATTATTGTTATTATTGTAATATCTCGGGTGAGTGGCAATCGACCGAATCACTGTATCGGATGATTTAATAATATAATAATAATATGCATTTTCGAAATCTATGCGTTTGAAAATTACGAATAGGTATGTACGATGTGTGTGTGTGTGTGTGTGTGTGTGTGTGTATGTTTTTGTGAACATAATATTATTATTATTATTACGGCAACGACGTTAGGACCATGGTATAAAAAAATCACTTCCTCTCCACTTTATCGTCCGTAATCGCCTCCCCCTTGACTTCCGAGACTATGAATATATAATAATTACCGACGATAGGCGCAAAAAAAAAACTTTTTGGTCATGTGAGCTGCCCGCGAAGGGTTCGCACCGCCGCTGCCACGAAGATTTCTCTGCAGACCCTCATTATCCGCGGAACGAATAAACACCCACGTGAGCAATATAGCTCAATCACCCGTAGTCAAATTTTCTTCCACCTAATATTTACTATGGTACATAGTTCATTTATATATTTTTTTTAAAACAATACATAACCGACTACTGTATAAATATACAAGTACTTTTGGAAAAAAATGGCCAAACTTGAGCACAAACTTGAGCAAAAAAACGATAGAAGGGAAGGGGTGGTGGAAAGTTGAATACTCCAAAAGGTACGTCTTTGATACAATTAATGCATGAACAAAATGATCATAGATTTATTTAGGGTGCCTGTAAACGTGTTTCAAGCAAGAAAAACACCATTCTTCCACAAAAACAACATGGTGAAATTCACTTTGAAATCGTATTTAATTTCAATCACTCCATTTAGCGTACGAGACAACTTTAATTACCGAGTTTGAGCTCATCCGATCCAGAGGGAACCGCTAAAAGTGACTAAGAATAGTGGTTACAATAGTTGACCGAAAATCGCGATATTATCACGGACTAAAAAGATCCAGTCCATCAATATTATAACATTATGATACTATAATAACGATCTTAACCAATTTCAATGAAAAACAAAAACATTTTGGTCTTAAAAAAAACATGGTCTTAGAACTCCCACCTCCTTGTCCATTGTCTCTTCTATCAGAACGTTTTGCGCACGCCTCTACGCGATGAGCAAACGTATAGTGCATATTTTCTCAGTCACTATAGCTACACAACCATCACGAAGAAATAACTTAAACTAAGGTAACAAAAAAAAAAAAAAAATAATAACAATTAAAATAAATATAGGGCCCTCCGTTCGAAAAAAAGACGAAAAGAAATTGTATGGGTATATGGAAAAAAGTTTCAACGCGTGACCGCAAAGTTTAATGTCGCCAGTAATTAATCACGCGCGTGTGAGCGAATGAAACTAATTTCCGTGTGCCGAAACCGTAGAGGAACAAAACGAATAAAAAAAAAATACAAAAAAAAATAAAATAAAATACTCGCCGCAAGTCTCTCGCCATATATACCAGAAAACAATTAACGGGTAACCTACCACGTGGTAACCATAAAAATACAGTTTTTGTCTGTGAAATTCCCGACGTGCTCATTATCGCATACTCTGACCGGTAAGGTTTGAATAATTTGCGCCATTCGTTTGCCTACAGCCGCAATATATTATTATCATTATTGCATCGTTGATCAGATGTCTAGTACACGAACAATCACAACATACTTAAAGCATAGGCATTTCTATTTAATTCGATTTAAATAAATGACTAATGACAATTTATAAGTTAATGTCAGTGCTGACGGTAAACAAAATAAGAATTTTCCCGTTTTTTCCACTTTTACCTCGGTTATTCCTTACTGTTAAGAAAATTGTAAGGGGAATCGAAAAATTACCTCCTAAATGCACTAAATAGACAACATTTTCTACCGGAACCACTCGCTTATTCCTAGATTTATATTAATGAACAAAAAAAAAAAATAGAAAATAGAACAAAAAATAAAACTTTTAAAAATGAATATAATATCACTCGCTTCGCACAAAATCAATAGTAGCAACAAAAAGTTGAACAAACTTAGACAAATTGACTAGGAATTAGAATTGACCTATTTATACGTTGCTGATTTATGGAATTCGATATGGATCGACTTCATAAAATATTTGTCATCAGCTAACTTGTCTTCAATTAATAGCCTTTCTAACAAATTTTATGCATTTTTAACCGTCAAGAGGGTACGTACTCTTCAAAGTTTAGAATGAAGGTATTGCACGTAGACCTAATAACCGCCTTATCTAGACATTTGGACCGTTTGATTAAAAAATGGAATTAAACGAAACAATTACGAACAAGTGAGAAAATATACCATAGTTATTTATCGTGAAAATGTGACTGAGAATCGCGTGATTAATAGTTCCGCACATTTCGGTACCCGAATAAAAGTTTTATATTAATAAACATTTAAAATCACATTTCCCCGCAGACTCGCAAACATACGTCTGCGGCAGAGGCAGATGTGTTGAAATCGATATTGTCTTTTATTTCTATAAAAACTCATTCAATTTCACACCGCCGCGCCGTGTAGATATTGATCGTGTTGTAATATATTATATTACCTATTGCATAATAACATTATATTGGTGACAAAAAAAAAAAAAAAAATGCGCCGTTAATAAAATAACGTCTCGTATGTAAATTCAAATTTAAATAAGTTAGATTAGGTAGGGTTAGTTCAATTTAGTGTATTGTTTTGTTACAGAGTCAATACGCAGAAGAAAAAAAAAAAACAATATTCTTCGTATCGTGGAATGAGCAATTGTTTTAGGCCTAAATCCAAAAGGAAGTATCAGGAAAAATTTAAGTATCAGCTTCCAAATATTACCTACTTAGAATTTGAAATTCAGGCTTTGAATACTATAATTGAGCCGATTAGTCCGAAACTGTTTATTTATTAGTTTTTTTTTTGTTTTTTTTAGACACAATCTGTGGGGAATATCGAAAAATTTATACATATCGCCGGGTAAAATGCCTTCATATAGTATGTTAAGGTGCGGACTGTTAGAGTTTTGGAGAATTTCGTCTGAAAATATAATAGATTTGTATAACAAATAGGTACATAATATTATTATTACAATTCCTGATCCGGCTCAGAATCAGTATCGCGTTTGACGTGGAACAACTGGGTCGAGGGTTATGTGAGT